CATGATTCCAACATCATCAGTTCCATGTGCATAACTCTTGTCAAAGGCAATGAGATTTTTTGTTCTTAAGGGATGGAGGCATTCACATTTATATTTATATCCCCTGTGGTGTTGAAATCAAAGAAACACAAATAATTAGAACTGGTCTGAGGATTTCGTTTTTATGCATAGGAAAGTTCAGAGATGGGAGTTGACTTGCCCAGAGTCATGGAGTAGGTTTGGATATAGGCCTACAACTCAAGCTTTCTGATCCTCATTCCAACATTATCTTAGGTTTTCACCATAACAATAATCAATAATAGTGGCATTGTGTTGGAGAAGGTCACACTGAGGTACATGGAGGTCAATGGCTTGTCTAAATGATGTATTGGTCTCTGTGACCTTGAATAAATTGGTTATGGGTTGTGGAGATCTATTGGCTTGGTTTTCCCATGGTAATTTTATTGCTTGTTCTGAGATCAGCTCACCTTGCATGTTGGACATCTGCTTATGGTGTCCAGAGGACAAGAAATAACCAAGCCATAGGCTAAACTAGGTCTCCAGGAGCATGTGAATAGTAGCCAATATGTTGTATACCGCTGCTTGATCTGACACTGGCCACTCCTGCCCCCAAATCCCCTAGCCAAACAATATTTTCCTCCTCGGGTTTAGATAAAGTTGACCTAAGACTAGTTGACCTAGGGTTTAGATAACTGGGCACATCTTGTAGTCTATCCAAGAGCATTCCATTTAGAATGATCCAGAGAACCCAAGGTCATCTTCGGCTTTGTTGATGTCCAGTGTAGGGATATGAGTGGTTCTTGAACATTTTTAAGACTAATTATGTTTGTGCATTGGCTGTAATCCATGTAGAGTTCAGATCACTTAATATAGTGAATAGAGATGGAGACAAGGAATGAGTTTCATGAAATAAAGACTTCAAAAATACTACTCAAGGAGCCTGCATATACATGTGCAGCCTCTCAGTTGAGAGAAAGCCAGAGGACCTGGGTTTTCAGTCAAAGACTGTGCTAACTTCATTCCACTAAATTCAACAAATGAGAGACACAGTAATCTACAAGGGGTTAAGAGGAATATGGAGGAGGGAGAAACTAACTTTGGTGAGCAATGACACTTTGGAAGGACTTCTTAGGTGAATTGACATACAGCACTGTGTAAGTTTAAAGTGTACAGCATAACGATGTGACTTATATCTATTATGAAATGATGACCACAGTGAGTTTAGTTAATATCCATCATTTCCTATAGATTAAAAAGAAAAGTAAAAATGTTTCTTTCCCTTGTGATGAGATCTCTTAGGATTTACTCAATTCATTAACTTTCATATATACCACACAGCTGTGTTAACTAGTCATCATATTGTATATTATATTCCTAGTACTTATTTATCTTATAACCAGAAGTTTGTACCTTTTGACCACCTTCATCTGATTCCCTTCCCCCACCTCTGGTAACCACACATGTGATCTCTTTTTCTAAGAGTGAGTTTTTTTTCCCCAAAGATTCCACTTATTGGTGAGATCATACAGTATTTGTCTTTCTTTGTCTGACTTATTTAATATAATGCTCTCAAGGTCCCATGTCTGTTGCTGCAAATGGCAGGATGTCCTTCTGTTTTGTGGCTGAATGACATTTTGGTGTGTGTGTGTGTGTGTGTGTGTGTGTGTACACACATCTTTATCTGTTCGTCCATTGTTGTTCACTTAGGCTGTTTCCATGTATTGGCTATGGTAAATAATGCTGCTATGAACATGGGGGTGTAGCTGTCTCTTTGGCATAGTAATCTTGTTTCCTTTGGGAATATTCCCAGGAGTGGAATTGCTAGATCATAGGGTAGTTCTATTTTTAGTTTTTTTGAGGAGCTTCCATACTGTTTTCCATAGTGGCTGCACCAATTTACATTCCTACCAACAGTGCACAGTAGACTAGCTTCTAGTAATGGTTAAGTATGTAGGGTAGGAGGTAGAGGCTTGAATTCTGAGTGACCTTGAAAACATTACTGACCTCAGTTTTCTTGTCCATAAAGTCAGAATCATGATGGTATCTATGCTTAGGTTAGTGAGGATTAATTAACTATTCTGTGTTATGTGCCTAGCACAGGGCTTTATGTAGACCCAAATACTCAATAAATGTTAGCCCTCATCGATATTATGATCTGGTACAATGGCTTTCAGAACTGCAACCTTGCATGGCAGACTACTTTCGGAGGGGGCGCAGGTATATGCTGAATATTAAGCTCCAAGTCCACAATTCCATATTCAGCTTTGTGATGCTAGGGTTTATAGTTGGCAACTTCCATTTCTCCTTCGCTGCTGGCTCCCTGTTAGTCTCTCCCAACAGGGGCACTGGAGAGAAGCCAGAGGGCAGGAGGAGGGAGTAGGGACTTGTTCTTTCTGTTGGTTGCTGTTCCTCTGGGTGCTGTCTCGACTACAGCAGCCCCTCATCCCCACAGCAGCAGTTAAGTCCAGTTCCCAGCTTCTTTGTATATTTTTGCAGTTTCACTATGCTCGTCAGGGAAACCTGGCAGCATCCTTCCTTTTAGGACTGAAATTCAGTTCTATAGGGCCATTGCCACAAGCTCCCTTTAGGGGTAGAGAAGCAGCCAGGCAGTGCCCCTGCCCCAGAGGGTCTGGGTCCTGGTTCTCTGCAGCCATTTCTCTGAGCTTCTGGCTTCTGATAACCCCAGTTTCTTTCCTGTAGTTAGCCCCAGTGCAGCTGCTTGCTGCCCTGTCTTCATTGTGTTATCATCCCCATTTTTTGATTTGTCAGTCCTCCCATGACTTTTCAACCACTTCTCTGCATTTCTCTCTTCATCTACCTTTCTTCATTGGATACTACAGTAGTATCTTTCCCAAGAAGATAAGATAAAAGAAGATTTGTAAGTGCTCAAACAATGCCAGACATATGGTAAGTGATTAACAGGTATTAGTTCTTATTATTCCCACCCTACTGCAGAAACCCCTTCCAAAGAGCTGAACTGAGCCAGGCTGACCTCATGGATGCTTTACCAGATCACCTCTCTCTCTTCCTGGGCATCCTCTAGACTTTCTCCTATTGGTCTTCTTTTCTCTTGGGAGCAAGAACATTCTGGTTAAAAGTATGAGTTTGAAAGTCTGGCATCCCTGGGAATAAATCCTGGCATTATTAGAAATAATAATAAAAATATGTATTTTAAGATTTATTTATTTATTTTAGAGAGAGAGAGAGAGCACATGCTCAAGCAGGGGGAGGGGCAGAAGGAGAGAGAGAGAGAGAGAATCTCAAGCAGACTCCCCACTGAGCACAGCGCCTGAGGCAGGGCTTGATCTCATGACCCTGAGATCATGACCTGAGCTGAAATCAAGAGTCAGATGCTTAACCGACTGAGCCGGGCATGCCAGAAATAATCAGAATATTAACAACTGTTACGGATGTTGGCCCTAGCCATGGGGCCACATCCTGGAGAACCCCCCTGATGTACCAGGTTAACCCTTGAGTGACCATGACATAGGAAAGGCCAGATGTCCTGATACGGGGAGTTACATGTACGTGAATCTGTTGGGCTTTCATGGGGAAAACACTTGGGGCTTGGGGCAGCTGCTGTTTATCAACTAGTATGAACTACTCCAATATTCTAACAACCAGTGGGGCTTTCTCTGTGCATGCCTCCTGGTAGTAAGTCCTGACTGTGCCACCTGCTCATCTGTCATCTTGGAGGTCATTTAACCCTTCCCAGGCCTCAGTTTACACAGTATCTAGCATTATGTGGGCTAGCGGATGTTAAGTGCCCAGTGATAATATTAGACTAACAATTCCTGTTACTATTAATATATTTTTTCCTATCCCTTACCTCCAGCTTATTTCAGCTTGGGTGTAAATCCTATGTTTCCACTGACATTTTGGTTCAAGGTATCCTGATTTTTATCTTAAGCAGAGAAAGTATTACTCACCAATGATGGCAATTGATTGTTCAGAAATAGAAGCTTATGCTCAGCTTATCAAATTTGGGTTTGATTACTACCATGCACTGGTATTCAGATCCTTTTTCCCTTCCAGGGTGCCCTGGCAGAGACTGTGCAGAGTTCAAGCCAGGTCTGCATAATACTCTCCAATAAATCTCTGGCTTTGTCACACTGTGGAGCTGCTAATAAAGAGAGCAGGCAGGCATTGTAGCAGGGCTTTCTTTGGTCAGAGAGCCCTAATAGTATGTCAGGATTATATAATTCACCCTCCAAGAGAATCCAAAAGAGAGATAAATTGTTTGGTTGGGAAAAATTAACCGCGGATTGATCCTATCTGTTTTAATTTAGCGCAGGATGGCTTAGACTACTCTAAGGAGCAGATGGGCTATTGATCTGACAATAGGATAATCAGAGCATCAAAGCTGGGGGTGGGGAGCACTTGGGGCTGTGCCAGGGTGGCCTTCTTGGAACAAAAGCTGTCCCTTAATTGAGCAAGTGCCTTTGCCTGCTAACAGGTCTTATTAGGGCAAGTGCTCCCGAGGCCTGGACCTGGCATCTGCATAGAGCTGTCATTTAAAGAGGCCACGTCTTATGCCAGGTTTGCTGGCAGAGAGAGGCAGCTTGGCAGTGGAAGGGGAAGAGACTGTGGGGGAGGGGATAGGGGGTGGTTACTGTGCTCGGGGCAGGCACTGTAGAAAGACAGATATATAGAGAGGAGAGCTGAAAATAGAATCTGCTGGTGGAACTCACAGGGTGGGGTCTCTCTTTTTCTTCCTTTTCTTTTAAAGATTTATTTTGAGAGGGAGAGAGAGAGAGAGCACGAGCTTGCCTGCAGGCAGGGCGAGAAGCACAGGGAGAGACAGTCTCAAGCAGACTCCCTGCGGAGCCTGACTCTGGGCTCCATCTCATGACCCTGAGATCATGACCTGAGCCAAAACCAAGAGAAGGTTGCCTAACTAACTGAGCCACCCAGGTGCCCTGTCTTCCTTTTCTTTCTTTCTTTCTTTTTTTTTTTTAAAGATTTATTTATTTGAGAAAGCGAGAATGAGAGAGAGAATACATGAGAGGGGGGAGGGTTAGAGGGAGAAACAGGCTCCTTGCCAAGCAGGGAGCCCGATGCGGGACTCTATCCAGGGACTCCAGGATCATGACCCGAGCCGAAGGCAGTCGCCTAACCAACTGAGCCACCCAGGCGCCCTTCCTTTTCTTTTAAAGATGTTTCTGTTCCTCTTCCCCTAGTCTGTTTCATTTCTGTCTTATCTCTAGGCTTAGGCCCCTCCACACGTGCAAGGACAAGAACCCTGTGATTGGCCGGTAGAGGTGATGCTTTCCTCAAGGAGCTAGGCCAGAGGTGTGTGCTGAGGCTGAGTGGCTTCAGTTGGGTCAGGGCCCCTGTAGAACAGGGTCACACTGTCCCATTGTCTTGAAACTTTGTGGGTGAGATTTCTCCTTTGCCCCACAGAGAGTTAGCAGCCTGGTGCTTCAAGAAGCTTCCAGATGGGTCAGGCGAACATCCTGCTGTGCCACGGTGACCTTGATGTCAGGGCGCCCTGACATGTGAGCCGGTTGAAGTCCCAGCCAAGGGCCTGAGGAGCGAAGGGCAGATGAAGCCTAGAGGCTCGGAGAAAGGGCAGATGATTCAGAAAGTGACACTTGGAGTAGAATTTTGCAGGCTCCTGTGCCTGACTGGTAAGACTGTGGGTTCCCTCACTCCAAGGGCCTCTTTCCAGGGGTGGGGATGGTAGCAGGCCATGGAGAGCTGTGCTCAATTCTGAGTGGTCATCCGTCAAACTTCTAGATTCTGTGGAACTAGCAGTGACCTCACTGGGCTCGTGAAACCTCCTAGCAGGGAGAGAATGGCAATAAAAAACACGTCTCAGGCGTTGAGTGCTAGGGAGGTTTTTTTTTTTTTTTTAAATCCTAATTATGTAAAATTTTTAATCTTCATTTGAGTGTCAAAATGAAACTCGAAGATTAAGCAAAGGTCACCTACTCTAAGTACTTTATATCATTCTTATTCAGGGTTAGTTGAATGGGTAGTTTTAGAAATTTGTCTTTTCTGATTTTTAATTCAACTTTATAGGTGGGAAAACAGAGACATGACTAAGCCTACATACTCAGTTTGAATTTTTCACATAGCAAAGCCTGCTTTTTTGCTTCCATTTCCAGTTCATTTGAGGGAAAATAGGATTTTTGATGCCTGAAATGATAATGATTTCTTTTTTCCATCTAAGAGAATATCAACTAGAGGAACAGCTAGGTTCTTGCCATAGTGGAAAAATAATAAAGTTATTAATAGCTGAACGAATGCATCTTGCTGGGAAATATTTTGGACTTTCATTGGTCTCATAGAGATGGAATATTCCTTGAACCTAAAACCTTTTTTTTCTTCCCTTTTGGATTTTTTAACAAAAAGACCAACATGCCTTTCAATTAAAATTGCCAAATCATTTGAAGTTACGCTGCTCGGACCCCAGTGTAACTGAGGCCCTGAATGCACAGAACACTGAAGCTCACATGTGGGTGTCCTCTTGTTCAGGACCCTGGACTGGTTTCCCTCTGCTTTTCCCCTTTTCATCGTTGCTGTGCTAACTGGGGCTCAGGGCCCTCAATCTGTGGCTGTAAAAACAATAATCCTTACACAAACATGGCGAGTAAAAGAAAGAAGATAGTCTTCTTTATATATACATATATATATATAATCTTTTATATAATACATAATGTATATATTATAATAATATAATCTATATTTCTATATACTCTATATATTTTATATTTCTAATACCACTTAGTCATGCAAGGGATCTCTGAGCTAATGCTTCCAAGCTATTTAGTCTGATGGAAGATGCAAATCAAGCCCATTGACAGCCACAGACGTTTGCATAACGGTTTTATGTTTGACGGAGTGATCTAGGGATAGCTTGGTGCAGGCAAAACACAGATTTTGGACTCAACAAATCTGGTTTGAGTTCTGGCCCCAAGCTATGTGTGACTTCAGATAGTGTGTTAGTCAGGCTTCTCCAGAAGAACAGAACCATAAAGATCTAGATCCTATTAAGAGAAGTCCTGTAGTCTGCCATCTGCAAGCTGGAGGTCCAGGAAATCTTCTGTTGTCATTCAGCCCAATTCCGGAGGCCGAGAATCATGGGAGCCAATGGTGTAAGTCTCAGTCCAAGGGCAGGAGAAGACCAGTGTCCCAGTTCAAGTAGTGAGGCAGAAAAGGTCAGATTCTCCTTTCCTCTGCCTTTTTGTTCTATTCAGGCCTTCGAAGGATTCAGTGATGCCTACCCATATTGCACAGAGCAGTCTGCTCTACTCTGCGGTTTAAATGATCATCTCATCCAGAAACACCTTTACAGACACACCGGATGGTAATACTTGGGTAGCACTGGGATCCGCTCAGGTTGATGTATAAAATTAACCATTATAGATTGCCTTACTTTCCTTGGCTTCTGTTCCCCCTTCTTTAAGGAGGGAAGTAATAGGACCCACCTCTTCTTATTGTTAGGAAAATTAATGAATTCACATATTTAAAACATGTAACAGTGTCTAGTGCATAGTAAATGTGACCATAAGTGATAGTAATTGCTAACTCTGGATCTCAGTTTTACCTTATGTCGCTCAGGTTGATTTAATGTCCTGGAATAGAGCAGTGTCTTGTGAATAGTAATGTCCTAAGCAAATGGAAACTAATTTAGCCCATGTAATTTTTTTAAATTTGAACTTTTCTATTTGGACATTCTGATTTTTTCCCACTAACTTAATCACTATTGAATTAATTAAAAGAAAAATAACCTCCAAATAGGCCCTGATTTCTTTTAACATTTATTACTAGTTGGCATTGAGAGACTTCAGAAGGATTTTTATTAAAGATATTATGCAAAAATCAATACAATGCATTAAAACAATTAGGAAAATATGACAAATAAGCAGAACAGCTCATTATTTATTATAGACCTGAGGGGTATGAAAGGCCTGTTTGGAACACTTAGAGAGAGACTTCAGGAGCAATTCAGTGCAATCCAATCTAATTCATTTGATTTATTCACAGAGTATCTACCAAGGGTACTGCACCAGAACAGGAGGTGTTCACATTTAACTTTTCTGCCCTCAAGGAATTCTCAGTTTTGGGGGGAGATATGTCACTATCATACAAGACAGAATAAGAGGTGGCCTACATTTTCTGTGATTTCAGAGAAGAAAAGATCTTCCACGAAGTGACTGGGAATGGAATCATAGTATTTTTTTTTAACTTTTTATTGAGATACGATTTATATACAGGTAAAGCCATCCTATGTAGTATATAATTCTGTGAGTTTTGACAAATTTATACATGGCAACTACATGACAAATATATGTGACCATCACTGCAGTCAGTATATAGAACAGTTCCATCACCAGATCCTTCCTTTGTGCCATTTTGTAGTCAACCTTTCCCCTACTCCCAGCCCCTGGAAACCACTGGTCTGTGTGTTGTCCCTGTAGCTTTGCATGTTCCAGAATGTCATGGAAATGGAAACCTAGAGCATATAGCCTTTGAGTCTGGCTTCTTTCACTTAACCTAGGGAAGAATTTCAGATTCATCCTCATCATTGCATGTAATTAATATTCTTTTCTTTTTATTGGCAGATAGTATTCCAGTTAATGGCTGTGCCACAGTTTGTTTATATATCCTCAGCTGAAGGAAATTTGAGTTGTTTCCAGTCTGGGGAGATGATGAATAAAGCTGCTATGAACCTTTGTGTTCAGGTTGTTGTGTGAACTTAAGTGTTCATGACTCTTGCATCATATGGTGAGTGTGTGTTTATAAGAAACTACAAATTGGTTTTCCAAAGTGGTTGTACATTTTGTATTCCCACCTGAAAAGTGTGGAGTTCTAGTCTCTCTGTTTCTTCACCAGCACTTGATGTTGTCAAGTTTTTTTTTTTTTTTCATTTTAATCATTCTAATAGGTTATACGAGTATCTCATTGTGATTTTAATTTTTATTTCTCTAATGACTAATGATATTGACTGCCTTTCTGTGTAGCACATTTAAGTTTGGCTATGTAGCACATTTAAGTATAGCACATTTAACTATAATGTCATTATAATCTTTTCTAATTCTTGAAAATTTGTTTTTTCAATTTTTAACTATTAATAGTGATGTAATATGTATCTTTCCTTATAAATGGACCAAAAGAGATAAATTTTAACATTATTTTTAAAAAAAATTTATTTATTTAAGTAATCTCTACACCCACCCTGGGGCTCAGACTCATGACTCTTAAGATCAGGAGTTGTATGCTCTTCCTACTGAGCCAGCCAGGTGACCCTAAATTTTAACATTCTTGATGAAACTATCCAAGTTAATTGTATCAAATTTTATACCCATTAAAAATATATAGGAAGAGCTGAGTGAAAGTTTCAACACATTTAAAACATCTTTTAACAGCTTTTTGTATTTTTCGGGTTTTTTGGAATAATTTTTTTTTCACGTATATCGTTTTAATGTTTTCATTTTCTTTGGGTAAATATCCAGTAGTGGAATTATTGGATCACATAGTATTTCTATTTTTAATTTTTTAAAATTTAATTTAATTTTATTATGTTATGCTGGTCCTCATACAGTACATCATTAGTTTTTGATGTAGTGTTCCATGATTCACTGTTTTCATATAACACCCAGTACTCCATGCAATATGTGCCTTCCTTAATACCCATCACTGGGCTAACCCATCCCCCCACCCCTTTCCCCTCTAAAACCTTCAGTTTGTTTCTCGGAGTCCATAGTCTCTCATGGTTCATCTCCCATCTCTGATGCCCCCCCTTCATTTTTCCCTTCCTTCTCCTAATATACTCCATGCTATTCCTTTTGTTCTGCAAATAAGTGAAAGCATATGATAATTGACTTTCTCTGCTTGACTTATTTTGCTTAGCATAATCTCCTCCAGTCCCATCCATGTTGATGTAAAAGTTGGGTATTCATCTTTTCTGATGGCTGAGTAATATTCCATTGTATATATGGACCACATCTTCTTTATCCATTTGCCTGTTGAAGGGCATCTCAGCTCTTCCCACAGTTTGGCTATTGCGGACATTGCTGCTGTGAACATTGGGGTGCATATGGCCCTTCTTTTCACTACATCTGTGTCTTTGGTGTAAATACCCAGTAGTGCAATTGCTGGGTCATAGGGTAGCTCTATTTTTAATTTTCTGAGGCACCTCCACACTGTTTTCCAAAGTGGCTGTACCAACTTGCATTCTCACCAACAGTGTAAGAGGGTTCCCCTTTCTCCACAACCTCTCCAACATTTGTTGTTTCTTCCCTAGTCAATTTTGGCCATTCTCACTGGTGTGAGGTGGTATCTCAGTGTGGTTTTGATTTGGATTTCCCTGATGGCTAATGATGATGAACATTTTTTCATGTGTCTGTTAGCCATTTGTATGTCTTCTTTGGAGAAGTGTCTGTTCATGTCTTCTGCCCATTTTTTGACTTGATTATTTGTTTTTGGGGTATTGAGTTTGAGAAGTTCTTTACTGATTTTGGAAATCAGTGCTTTGTCTGTAGTGTCATTTGCAAATCTCTTCTCCCATTCTGTGGGTTGCCTCTTTGTTTTGTTGACTGTTTCCTTTGCTGTGCAGAAGCTTTTTATCTTGATGAAGTCCCAAAAGTTCATTTTTGCTTTTGTTTCACTTGCCTTTGGAGATGTATCTTGAAAGAAGTTGCTGTGGCCAATGTCGAAGAGGTTAGTGCCTATGTTCTCCTCTAGGATTTTGATGGATTCCTGTCTCACATTGAGGTCTTTCCTCCATTTTGAGTTTATCTTTGTGTATGGTGTTAGAGAATGGTTGGGTTTCATTCTGTCCAATTTTCCCAGCAGCATTTATTGAAGAGACTGTCTTTTTTCCATTGCATGTTTTTTCCTGCTTTGTCGAAGATTATTTGACCATAGAGTTGAGGGTCCATATCTAGGCTCTCTATTCTGTTCCATTGGTCTGTATGTCTGTTTTTGTGCCAGTACCATGCTGTCTTGGTGAGCACTGCTTTGTAATATAGCTTCAAATCAGGCAGCATGATACCCCCAGCTTTGTTTTTCTTTTTCAACATTTCCTTGGCGATTCGGGGTCTTTTCTGATTTCATACAAATTTTAGGATTGTTTGTTCAGGCACTTTGAAAAATGTCACTGGAATTTTGATCGGGATGGCACTGAAGGTATAGATTGTTCTGGGTAGCATAGACATTTTAACAATGTTTATTCTTCGGATCCGTGAGCATGGAATGTTTTTCCATCTTTTTGTGTCTTTTTCAATTTCTTTCATGAGTTTTCTGTAGTTCCTAGAGTGTATATCCTTTACCTCTTTGGTTAGGTTTATTCCGAGGCATCTTACGGTTTTTGGTGCTATTGTAAATGGAATAGTTTCTCTAATTTCTCTTTCTGCAGTTGCATTGTTAGTGTATAAGAAAGCAACTGATTTCTGTGCATTGATTTTGTATCCTGCCACATTACTGAATTGCTGTATGAGTTCTAGTAATTTGGGGGTGGAGTCTTTCGGATTTTCCACATAAAGTACCATGTCATCTGCGAAGAGAGAGAGTTTGACTTCTTCTTTGCCAGTTTGAATACCTTTTATTTCTTTTTGTTGTCTGATTGCTGTCGCTAGGATTTCTAGTACTATGTGGCCAGAGTGGGTATCCTTGACGTGTTCCTGATCTTAAGGGAGAGGCTCTCAGCTTTTCCCCATTGAGGATGATATTCGCTGTGGGTTTTTCATAGATGGATTTTATGAGCTTGAGGAATGTTCCCTCTATCCCTATACTCTGAAGAGTTTTAATCAGGAAAGGATGCTGTATTTTGTCAAATGCTTTTTCTGCATCAATTGAGAGAACCATATGGTTCTTCTCTTTCCTCTTATTAGTGTGTTCTATCACATTGATTGATTTGTGAATGTTGAACCACCCTTGCATCCCGGGGATAAATCCCACTTGGTCGTGGTGAATGATCCTTTTAATGTATTGTTGGAGCCTATTAGCTAGGATTTTGTTGAGAATTTTGGAATCCATATTCATCAGGGATATTGGTCTGAAACTCTCCTTTTTGATGGGGTCTTTGCCTGCCTTGGGGATTAAGGTGATGCTGGCCTCATAGAATGAGTCTGGAAGCTTTCCTTCTCTTTCTGTTTTTTAGAACAGCTTCAGGAGAAAGGTTATTATTTCTTCTATGAATGTTTGGTAGAATTCCCCAGGGAATCCATCAGGCCCTGGACTCTTGTTTTTTGGGAGGTTTTTGATCACTGCTTCAATCTCGTTACTTGTTATTGGCCTATTCAGGTTGTCAGTTTCTTCCTGTTTCAGTCTTGGTAGTTTATAGGTTTCCAGGAACCATCCATTTCTTCCAGGTTGCTTAATTTTTTGGCATATAGTTGTTGATAATAATTTCTAATAATTGTTTCTATTTCCTTGGTGTTAGTCGTGACCGCTCCCTTTCGTTCATAATTTTATTACTTTGGGTCCTTTCTCTTTTCTTTTGGATAAGTCTGGCCAGTGGTTTATTGATCTTATTAATTCTTTCAAAGAACCAACTTCTAGTTTCGTTGATCTGATCTGCTGTATTTCTGGTTTCTAATTGATTGATCTCTGCTCTAATCTTAATTATTTCTCTTCTGATGTGTGGCTTAGGCATCGCTTGTTGCTTTTTCTCCAATTCTTTAAGGTGTAAAGTTAGTTGATGAATTCAGGATTTTACTATATTTTTGAGTGAGGCTTGGATGGCTATATATTTCCCCCTTAGGACTGCCTTTGCAGTATCCCATAGGTTTTGGACCGATGTGTGTTCATTCTCATTGGTTTCCATGAATTGTTTAAGTTCTCCTTTGATTTCCTGGTTGACCCAAACATTCTTGAGCAGAGTGGTCTTTAGCTTCCAAGTGTTTGAATTTCTTCCAAATTTTTTCTTGTGATTGAGTTGCTGTTTTAAAGCATTATGGTCTGAGAATATGCAGGGAATAATCCAAATCTTTTGGTATTGGTTGAGACTTGATTTGTGACCCAGTGTGTGGTCTATTCTGGAGAAAGTTCCATATACGCTCGAGAAGAATGAATGTTCTGTTGTTTTATGGTGGAATGTTCTGTAAATATCTGTGAGGTCCATCTGGTCCAGTGTGTCATTCAAAGCTCTTGTTTCCTTGTTGATTTTCTGCTTAGATGATCTGTCCATTGCTGAGAGTGGAGTATTGACGTCTGCTACAATTAGTGTATTATTATCAATATGACTCTTTATTTTGGTTAGCAGTTGGCTGCTCCCATGTTAGGGGGGTGTAGATATTTACAATTGTTAGATCTTCTTGTTGTATAGACCCTTTAAGAATGGTATAGTGTCTTCTGTGTCTCTAACTACAGTCTTTAGCTTAAAATCTAATTTGTCTGATATAAGAATCGCTACCCCAGCTTTCTTTTGATGTCCATTGGCATGGAAGATACATCCAGACTTAAAGGAATCATTGTTTTTTAAAGTTGGAAGAGAACTTAGAGGTAAATTCACCTAACCTTTCGTGCAGTGAAAAATCTTTTCCTGCAACATTTGTTCATATTTCAATGTATGTGCTTACTCCTTCCACAATTCCTCAATGCCTGCTGTTTGCCACAGATGGAGGAGAGACAATGGTTCACAAGACACCTGTTAGTCAGGGTTCTCCAGAGAAACAGAACCAACAGGACACATCCCTGTACATATAGAGAGATTTGTTTTAAGCAATGGCTCTTGAGATTGTGGCAGCTGGCAAGTCCCAGCTCGGCAGAGTGGGCTGGCAGGC